GAACCAGAAAATGCCAGATGGAGAGACCCCAGCAGGAAATGTCCACTTCAGCTCGAGCAGCCGGGCGCCAGCATCTGGGACTGCTTGTCGGACAAGGGCGAGGAGGGCTCGCGCTGGCCGAGGGAGGCGGCCAGCACCTGCTCCGTCACCAACCTGATCAAAGACCTCAGCCTCAGCGACCCCCACGGCAACCCCTCAGCCCCCCCCAGCAAGCGCCAGTGCCGCTCGCTCTCATTTTCCGATGAAATGTCAAGCTGCGGGACCTCGTGGAGACCCTTAGGCTCGAAGGTTTGGACCCCGGTCGAGAAACGGCGGTGTTACAGCGGGGGGAGTGTGCAACGCTACTCCAACGGCTTTGCCACCATGCAGAGGAGCTCGAGCTTCAGCCTGCCCTCACGGTCCAACCCGCTCTCCTGCGAGCATCCCGCCCTCAGCAGCCGGCTGGGATGCCAGCTCGGCACGGGGCCGAGGAAATCAGTCACCAGCAGGCACGGAGGAGAGCGGGTGGACATGCAGAGGTCCCTCTCCTACTCGCATGACCACTTCTCCTCCTCAGAGTACTGCCCGCCCTCGGCAAGCAGCACGCCTGCCTCCACGCCGGAGCTGGGGCGACGGGCCGGTGGGCTCTCCCGAAGCCGCTCACAGCCCTGTGTCCTGAATGACAAAAAGGTCGGGATCAAGCGACGGAGACCGGAGGAGGTTCAGGAGCAACGGCCCTCGCTGGACCTCGCCAAGATGACGCAGGTAAGAGGCGGCAGTGCCGTCCCTGCGAGGGCCCTGCAGACGGGGCTCAGCAGTGAGGTGATGCTGTTCTCTGCTTTGCTGAAAATCCTTTAGCATCCTCCTGAGGTGGGCCTGTGGTGCGCAGAGTAACACGGGTGTTACAGGGAAGTGCATCCTTTTGTCCGAGCAGAAAACCCCTTCTCCTCCAAATGGATTTCTGTAATAAATCCCTGCATTTCTGTTCTGCGTGGATTTTTGCACGCCAAGTCCACCATGTTGTTTCCTCCTGGCACATGTTTCAAGCAGGAATATGTTAAACCCCACATTTTTGAGTTCAGGAGAGAGGAGCCCTCAGCCTGCCATGAGGAGGTGAAGGCAGCACCCCAAGGCACCTAGCCCTGGCTCCTTTGGGAGCCGAATACGTACCGCTACGGGCTTTACTTGCTCTCAGCCTCTGTAATTTTCCACTCTGGAGATGTTATCACGTTTCATTTTCAGTTGCAAACACAGAGCACAACCTCCCTCTTCAATCTGCTGCGCAAAGCCAGATAACAGATCTGAAGTGTGAATCGGGGAGGATTTTGCTCCTGGGTCCTCTCCCTGCAAGACCAAGTGACCGGACTTTAGCGAAAGCCAAAATGAGAGGCTGTATCGAAGGACAGCACAAGCAGCGTTTCCATTTCACACTCATAAAATTTCTTTTTCTGCAGTTTTATGATTTGACATTTCCCACATCAATAATTTATAGTCGTAAAGTCAATGGCACCACCAGCTCTGTGTGGGATGGAGATAGCGGGGGGTCTGAAGACCCCAGGGCTGCTGCTGTGGGAGCAGGGGGTTTGCCCTGGCCACCTCCCAGGGTGGGCTGTCACCTTCTGCCGGCCAGAAAACTTCCCCCGTGGTTTTGGTTCAATGCCATCATCTGCTGTGCAGTGCTGCTGCGCTTCATCCCAGAGGGAACCGTGTCAGGAGCATCTGCCCTGATTTTCTTTGTACAGCCGCGGCTGGCAAAGCCTGCCCGGTGCAAGGCATCCCCTTGTTTGCAGGGAAACTGCTGGCAGCAATTCGCTGGGTGGGATGGAGAAACAGCTGTGGGTTTCTCCCCTTGCCGTTCCCCAGCGGGGCGACATCCGACGCTGTACGTGCTTTTTCCCCTCTTATAAGAACGCGATATTTGATGGCGTTTCATGCTTGGCAGTGCAGAGGGTGTTTGAAGGAGTGCAGTGGTGTTGGAGGAAGAGATTAGCTTCTCCTCCTCCAGAGGAGCTTAGAGGGTAAAAAAGGGTGAGGGAATCACATATTTGGGTGATAGCAGGGGAAAAAACACAAGGGTTGCTCTCATCTTTTGATAAACCACATCAGCAATGTTTAATAGGCTAAGCTTATTTTTTTAGCTAATAAGCTGGACGAGCAGTAAAAGCAACTTACACGTGTTACCATATTTTGGTAGCCACAGGTTGGAATAGCGCAATTACCCCCTCCTAATTCTCGCTGTACAAGCAGCCACTCGTTGCTTCACCTGCATGTGCAGTGCAGGATGTCCCCCAAGCCCACGCGGGAGTTTCCCAGCAAACCAAAGCCTGCAAAAGACCCAAATTGCCTCAAAACCGGTGGCGGGGAGGGCGAGGCTGCCCCTTCGCTGCCTGCCTTCCCGCCCCTGCCTGGAGCCCGCAGGCGCGGAGCCCCCCGAGCTGCCGCCGCAGGGAGGGAACAAAGGTGACTGTCCCCAAATGGGCATCAGACCCACGGGGAGCAATGCGAAGCGATCGCCGCGTCCCCCCAGCTCGCTCAGATAGCGGCTCTACCGCTTGTTCCCAGGTGGCGTCTCGCCTTAAAACCAGCGCAGTGAAACTGCCTTTGCCACCGCATGCTGACGACTGCAGCTTTCCTTGAGTCTCCGTTAATAACCCGCCGGTGTGGGAGGAGGTCCGCGGCTGTGGAAATGGGCTGTCCAGGCTGAAAGCCCACGGTGCAGAGCGGCCGGGGAAAGATGGGGAAGGATGCGGCCCCGAGCGCAGGTGCCGGGGCTGGGAAATGGGCTGCTCCTCTTTCTGCGTGCCCAGCAGTGGCTGGGGAAATCTTCCTCATCCACATTTCCTCCGATGGCATTTTCTGGGGCTGTATTTGGACATGCAAAGCATAACTTGCATTTATACTTTGCGTGGGGGTTTGCATACACACGCAGGCATGTGTGCAAAGGTTGTGAGGAGCTGTGCAAAGGCTCATGTTGGTATGTCACTGGGTTTTGTTGCATCGGGGCAATTTGGCCTGGAGACGTTAGTAGCACATGTGGGTGAGCAGGTAACAAAATCCAATGCAGTATTTGTGGACGCAGAGCTGGTTGTGCACGTGCCAGCGAGCACCTTGGTTCGTTGCCTGCTGGGGCGTCTGCTTGCCATGACCAGTGGTTTGGTCTTGCAAGGCTGAACGTGCCCATCGTATCCCTCCGGACAAGCTGCTCGGAACCTCAGGAGGAGGCAGAGGTGATCATCAAGAGATTTCGGGATGAGACCAAGACGTTGAATGAGTTGCAAAGCCTTGGTATGATGCACGTGTGCCCCAGCTGCATCTACGGGAGTGCTCACGGCTGAACAAAGGGAAGAGATCAAAGGGATGGGACTATTTTTATTCGCATGGCTATTCTGAGAGCCTGCGTGATGGTTACCATCTCCGAGCGGTGCTTGCACCATGGTAAGATCAGCATTTCGGAAGCTCTGGGAGGGCAGAGCAGAAGTCATTTGCTCTTCTTTGCTCATCGCTTTGTGCTGGGCCAGCTCGCAGGGACACCAAAGGAGAGCACGGAGGAGCGGGGAGTGATCTTCCCATTCCCGTGGCAGGCTCCGAGGCTTTCATCCCTCATTAAAAGAATTAATGAGTTTATCTTTGCAAATGCCAATGAAGCCTTTTTTTTCCTTTTTCCCAAAGGTTCCTTGCGATTTTCTGCCCTTCAATTGCCAGCCTTTGCAAACGAAAGGCACAGAGGCAGTGTGGCAGGTAGGGCAGACCCCTAAACAGATCCCGCTGGCGGGGATGCAGCCCCGGTGCAGCACCAAGGCAATGGGGCATCAAGTCCAGCTGATTTTGCTTCCAGTGCTCTGCTCTGCAGACTTTGGGGAATAAAAGGCTTGCACTGGGGCCTGGAAAGCCTCTTTTTATAGCTGTTCTTCCAGCCTTGTGAGCCCATGGATGCTCCTTCCCGGCTCCCTTGGTGCCCATCAGGGTTTTAGCACCGGCTGTAGCTCATCTCGAGCCCTTCCAGGTCCCTGCCGAGGTCTGCGTGAGGCTTCACAGGCACAGCATGCCCATGCACTTGGCTCAGTCCCTTCTCTGAGGAACTGAACCGCAGGCTGGGATCGCATCCTGCACCTCTTCACTCACCTCTCTGGATTGGCCTTGGCCCCAGCAAAACACAGATTCTAAACAAGAGCAACCCCGACAGCCAAGTCCCCACGTTGGCTCCTGCTCTGGACAGCTCTCCATCCCACGTCTCCACGGTGGTGGGACCCTGTGGGGGACCGGGGCGCCCCCAACATGGGCGGAGGACACAGCTAAAGGTTCTAACAAATCTCAGCATCTAGCTGTTGGACTTGTGTGTCAGACTTCTGTATGAGGGTGTCATGGTTTAACCCCAGCCAGCAACTAAGCCCCACCCAGCCGCTCGCTCACTCCCCCCCGGTGGGATGGGGGTGAGAATCGGAAGGGTAGAAATGTGGAAACTCGTGGGCTGAGATAAAGACAACAGGTAAAGCAAAAGCCGCGTGCACAAGCACAGCAAAACAAGGAATTCATTCACTCCTTCCCATGGGCAGGCGGGTGTTCAGCCATCTCCAGGAGAGCAGGGCTCCATCACGTGTAACGGTGACTTGGGAAGACAAACGCCATCACTCTGAACGTCCCCCCCTTCCTTCTTCTCCCCCCAGCTTTATGTGCTGAGCATGATGCCATATGGTATGGAAAAGCCCTTTGGTCAGTTGGGGTCAGCTGTCCCGGCCGTGTCCCCTCCCAGCTCCTTGTGCCCCCCAGCCTGCTCGCTGCTGGGGTGGGGGGAGAGGCAGAAGAGGCCTTGACTCTGTGCAAGCACTGCTCAGCAATAGTGAAAACATCCCTGTGTTATCAACACCATTTCCAGCACAAATCCAAAACACAGCCCCATACTAGCTACTGTGGAGAAAATTAACTCTATCCCAGCCAAAACCAGTACATGGGGGCTAATACATGGATAAAGAAGGACCGACGCAAACCCACCTAAGACCCAGGTTCAGGAGGATGAAGGCGCAGCGAGGCCCAGCAGGTTGCCCTCCTTGAGCATCCTCGGGGAGCACAGAAGGCTTGGATCCTGCCTGGAAACCACCCTGGAGCGCCGGGAGCTGGGCCAGCGGCTCCCACAGGCCGTGCACTCAGAAGTGGGTCTTGCTTTCTGTCCCTGCAAGGGTTAGCCCCCCCCCCAGCAGCCTCGGGGTGTCATCTCTTCCCCAAATCCCTAACCATTTGCAAGCCATTCTTAAATCCTGCTTACCAGGTTAACCCAAAGTGAGAGTCACGATTTTCAGCCGTCAGTGGAAACGTGGAAGAGAAGCAGTAAATGGAAACGGGCTGAGCAGCGGGGACGGCACAAACAAATGCTCATGGTTACGAAATAGCCAGGATGCTAAAAGCAGCAGCGTGTCACCGGAGCAGATGTGTTTGGTAATCGAATTTCAGGCAAAGGGCTGCGGGCTGTGTGGCGGTAGCTGTTCGGCAGACCCTCCTCTCCACGCAGCACTCCTGGTGCTGGCTGGGGTCTCTGCAGGAGGTCACCGCCTTCAGGAAGGGTGCCTGCAGGTGCTTTTTCTGCTGATGTGGAAGGTTCATGCGATGGATAGGGAAGGAGGAGAGGGTCCAGGCTCTGGTTTCCACTTTGCAGTAGGAAAAGTTCTGATGGGTGGTGCAGAGCCGCAGCGGTGCAGTCCTCGACTCCCTCCCCAGCCTTGCATCCCCATGCAGGACAGGGGACATGATGAGGAGGCAGCAGGACCTTGATG